TTTGGTATAAATCAACAAAGTTAAAATTTTTAAATTAAAATACATGTAAATAAAATAATTGCGATAATGAATGAGACAGAACTAGATATTTAGCTATTAAATGACCTGAGCTGACCTCTCACATGCATGAAGCTGATACCCCAGGGAGAAAAAACATGTGAAAATTGCTGTAAGTAACTCAATACAAGTCCCAGGTCAACCACTAAGATGATACAAACATCTACAAATATTTTCAATATGAGCAGTTTGTGTAGGAACCTGCATGCTAGCTTTACATTATAAAGCTGCATGACAACTAATAACGAAAATGAACCAGAACAAAGTGATGTTTATTGATGCATGTCTAAAAACCAGCCACACAAGTGTTGACTATACACAACCTTCACCCATACCTAATCACCCTCAGTCAGTGTTCTTGTATTTGCTTTCCAAAGTCAATCCAGACATGCCCACCCTTCGAGCAACATGCAGTAAAAATCTTGCATCTTTTGTCAACTTTCTCAAGTTGTTTTGTAATCAATTTGACAAATCCATCATCATCTTGATCAACATACTATGTTTGTCCAATATACTTGAGCATTACTGAATTACAAACATATCACATTTCCTTTCAGAGCATCAAGGGAATTTAGGAGGATTTAAAATAATAAACTATTTTTATAGATAAATAATTAAGCGCTAATTGTATATATATTTACATATATATAACTTCAAGTTTTTCCAGGTTTTCTTGGCTAAGTATATCAGTTAATTTGCATACCACTTGAATATGTTAATTACCTCTATTGTTGTCATTGTAATTATAATCTATTGTTTATCAACAAATTTTAGGAAAATGTTTTATATTCTGAAAACTATTCTGTAACAGGTAATAGGTCGACTTTAACTGTTTATAATAAAGTAAATGATAAATATATTTAGAAGCATCATTTAGGTAATTATTTCATTCAATACAATTTTTTTTTTAAATAACCAAACATCTCACAAGAATGCACTATTAAAATATGTCAATAAAAATTGAATAAAAAATAATAATAAAAAATGAAAAGAATTGAACAGCACATGACTATATTCATTAATAAATGCAAAATACCTCATAATAAAACAAATTTCCTTCTTTAGCTCTGAAGTATCTCCTCTTCCATCCTTTTATCAGTGACGCTTTGGTCTGTCCAACTGGTAATTTCTCGATATAACCTTCCATTCTACACGTAGTTGTAATGTCTTCTGACAATTCATGCAATTGTTGAGTCTCACAGTACATGTCACGAACTAATGGAGTCTACAAAGAGAAATAAGTCGATTTTATAAACAATTCTTTAGTAACCCCGATACTGTCTACTTCATTAGAAAAATGCATCATCACAGAATTTTGAAATATTAAAAGAAATCGAAATTTTCTACCTACTGTTTTCCTAGACTAAACCAGATAAGTTACAAATTAATATTAGTTTTTTCAAACCTTCAGTAATCTGATTCCATGTCAATATAGCACACAGAAATGAAAAGTTTCGAGCATTTTTATCGAGGCAAAGAAAAATTAAAAAATATTTGCATTGGTATCTATGGTGGAAGTATTTCAGTATAACTTTGTACAGTGATGTGGAATAAAACAGCAAAAAATGTTATTGCTAGGAATCACAATACAGTGAGTTTTGAAAATTAAAATAAAATATTTAAAATATCTTCATTGTATAAATTCTCAGGAACCAATTCCAATGGGTATAATTTCTTAATGACTATGTACCCCAAAATATGTATAAATCACTCAACTCTGATTAAGGTAGAGGATGCAGTTTATTTTGCAAATTTTGACAAATTTCACTTTTTTAAATTTTTTATGGCATAGTATGAACATCTGTATTCTGTGAAAATTTGAAATTAAAATCATTAGTGGAACTCTGTTAAATCCAATGGTGGGGTAAATCAGCATACATTTTTAGTTAACTATAAAATATGCAAATTAGCAATTATCTCAGCTTCTTTTTAGTGCACATCCCAGAACTTTAAAAAAAAATAGCTCCCAGATGCTTTGACCTTTTCTTTTGAAATTTTCACAAATGATTGACAATGTGTTTATCTTCAAAATGCCGTTGGAGCATTGTTTTTGGTTGAACAATGTTACAACAATCATACAGACAACTAGCTTTGGTGTTAATTTATGCATAAACTTGAATCAGTGAAATTTGAGCTGCTGCCCAGCAAAATTGACAACTGGTAGACAGTTAAGCTTTCCGAAAATATATAGTTTTGAGGACAAAGGAAGTCATCTTGGTTGCCTAATTAACATAATTAAAATATGTTTTATTCCATGATTTAGGATGTAAGTAAATTTAGTCTTGGTGTGAAAGTAACAATTATAATCCATTATTACATACATGTGAGAAACCATTCCTTTAGAATAATCAAAACACGAAATATTTTAAGTTCTTGTTTATAAGCCACTACGTGTTCTATTACAGCTGTACTTGTCATGGTACAGTAGAATGATATACAGCTGCGACTTACAGCACTTTACTGCAGAGAATGTAAGATCAATCAACTCGACACTATAAAAGAATTCCCAATTAAGCAGTACACCATATCTAATGGTGTGGAATTTTATAAAAGTCTTTGTTATTACACACACATGCCTCACTAGCTTTGGTATTAACTGGCAGAGATGAAGGAAATTTTAGTTGAACGAGTAACAGTTGCTGAGCAGGCAGTATTCGAGTTGATAATTAGAAACCAAAGATGGACAAATAAATGCAGGATGACATTTGAGAAGGACACCACTAAGACCGACTCATCCATTTCTGTTAGTGTATTTGCTTTAATAGAAGTGTCTAACATTTAGATAACGGTGCCATCGGTATGTTTCAGTTACAGCCTGGAGCTTTTGCACTTTCATTCACATTAATTTGAGATAATAAAGTAATTACGGTAAGTGTACTTTACATACATGTCTTGGTTCAGACACTTTGCAGACTAACAGAAAGGCAATTATTATTAAAAAGACATTTAAGAATCTGATAATGAAACTATTTTCAGACAATATGTGTCTGGATCAAAATAGAGACTAATTAAGGATTGTCTTGCAAAAAAAAAAGACGCAACAAGATTCCAACTGCCGTCCAAGGTTCTTATAATTATTGAAAGATAAAAATAAAATCTGTTGATAGCCTAAGCAGGTTGGTTAATACATAACAAGTGACGCCAAGTTAGGTATGGTATTGTGTCTGTAGGTTCAATATGAATTCAAAACAGAATACCAATTACCAGTAACATCACTAGAAAAATGCCCACAAATGCACGCCATGATTATTTCAACAAAAATGTCAGTCCAAAATCACATTATTATGTATTCTAAAACATATTTGTTAATTGTGTTGGCATAATTTAAATATCCAATTTTGCAAAAATAAAATATGGAACAACTTGTGAGTTTATGTTGTGTTGACAGATTGGGGCGCATATGGATTCTCATGTTACTGCTATCAATGGTTAACATGTATAATAAATGTATATTTATTACAATCATATAAATTTATATTTTTTTTATCATGATCTGATATTGATGACTAGGATATCCTTTTTTATAAGTCACTCCATTATTCAGATTACAATAACAGTATCCTGCTGTACCCTGTGGAGTCGCAGTGGATTCTGTGAATTCAAACTGACAATTCCACTTAACCATTTCCTACCATTAACTTGGGACAGCATTATTTGCATGTAAAATTGGAACCAATCAGGCAGAATTTAATATTTCCAAATATTCATGTGTATTTTTTTAACACAACAAGCTGATAGTAAACAAAACTATTTTGTAGAAAGTAATTAAAATAGAGCCGAAAAGAAACAAAATAATTAAATTAATACTCACGGGATCCCAGTTCTTGGCTCGTTCTTTTTCACTGAAATCAATTTTTACACCGCCTTCACTAAGGTCATTTTTATCAAATACCATTGATCCATCATATTTGATACTTTATTTGCATCATCCTCATCATCAACCACTGTGGTAGCATTCAGCGGAGAAAAGTTCATGTCTGGAGTAGCAGTTTCATTTAAATACAATTGTGTACCGTCAGTAATGTTAAAACTTGGTACCCATTCATTTGATGTTGAGGCACTGCCATTCCCAGCTGGAACAATCTGAGACTTGTTGACTTTAGCATAAATCGGCTCCTCTTTAGGTTTGGAATCTGGGGTCTCCCATGAAACAGCATTAATTTCCGCATCTGTGTCAGCTGGTTTATCCCAAGAAATTGGAGCAATTTCAGCAACAGGTTTATTCCAGGATACAGGAGCACTCTCGGCAACAGGCTTATCCCAGGAAATTGGTGCAACATCCACAGATGGTTTATCCCAGGAAATTGGTGCAACATCCACAGATGGTTTATCCCAGGAAATTGGTGCATCAACTGGAGCAGGTTTATTCCATGAAACTGGTGCTACTTCAGTGTTTGTGTTTGGGTTGACGTTACTTGATGGTTTTATATCTGGCTTCTCAGTTCCAAAAATGTTTGTCCCTATACCCCCATCTCCAGCACTACTGGGTTTAAATACTATTTTTGCCTTAGTTTTAAAACTTTGTCCCTCCACAGTGCCAGGTTTCACACCGTTTGAGGTAGATAACTGCCCTACTCCTTGAGTAACTTGTTCCACCCCATTTGAGTCCGACATGATGACAGGGCCTTTATAACGGTCAAACTAAAATAAGGTCAATCAAATGAACATGTGCTCAAGGGAAGATAATATATTGGTTATCAGTGTCAGCTGACGTCAGGCACGCCCCATATCGATGGAATCAAACGAGGGTCAGTTTAATAGCACACCTGGTGAAAAAGAAAAAGCAGACTTTTATACATATAAAACACAGAGACGAAAATAAGGGTGCATAATACAATTACTTGTGGTGCGTTCACTTCCGTAAGTTCTCACCATGAGTCACCGGGGCTCGCATGAACAGACATTGTTTTCTGCTGACTGGTTAACCGTTACGATAAATTCGCCTTGTGACATTTAATTAATGCATGTGTATTTTATCTTTTCATGCAATTTCCTTTATATTAAAATGTCAACTCCTGGGTTCGATAAACGCTATTGTACAGTACTCGGGGGTTTAAGGTACGTTATTTTTAAATTCGAGAAACTACGACCGTGAACCCCCGTCTCTGTGACAGTGACAACCGCAGAGCAAACGTCAAGTATGTTTATTTATACGACAAATGTCACGCCGTGGTTAACCACTGTGTACACATATTGTAATATAATATACTGGATATTCGTGACAACCGACAACCAACGTCGTATAAGACTGGCTGGAACTTGCAGCGACAGAAGAACACGCTAAACTCACTATGGTATGGGGGATTCCAGTACGAATCGGTCATCGTCACAAATCGGACAAATGTCTACTTTTTTTGTCCGCACTGGTTGTATTCTAGACTGTGGCTAACAGCGATTTGTTGAGTTAAAAACAAATTCGCAGAAATCTAAGGCGGAAAAGCTAAAGTTTTAATGACAACTTACCAGTCTTCGACGAGAAAACTTGACAATACCTTCGCCACTTCTTCTGTGTCTTGACTTCAGTCTGTTATGACAGTTCACTGGCCTGTCTGCCAGCGTCAGGAAGTGCTTTATGCCAAAATCGATGGGGGCGCTGTGGTCTCAGGGCGTGGTTTTAGTCTAAGAATAGGATGACCAGTGTCCAATATTGATATTCGCAAAAACGTGATTTACTACATCACGTATTATGCGCCTATAGTATCATACTTAAAACTCATTGGCACGTGGAAGTAAGTGGGGAAAATTCTGTAACTCGCTGCCTAAAATATTTATTGCCAAACTAAAACTATGACCAAGATGAAATGCCTGAACAATCTGTTTTCCGTATCGAGTTGGAAATGTGTCCTGTCATATTAATTCATATACATATTGAGTCTCCATATAAACAATAAACTAATATTTAACGATTTTCCCGAGCATCATTGGCTTTCCCGAAATTACAAAACTGTCGACTGTACTCCACGTTGTCAGGGGAGTTAATATACAGGCAGTCTATTTATGTTGTTATAAGAATCACGATAAAAAAGTTAGTTTGTGATGTGATAATAGTGAGATTGACAAATAAATAGTATTTGTAAATAGGTTAAAAGATTTTTTTTCACACTGGTCTATGCTATTATCTCGATTAGTAACCGTGTTTGAATTGAACATTTCCCATATACGGTTCATAGTGGTGTGATGAATCATCGTTTGAAAAACTCTATGGCTGTATCACATTACCGTTACTTTTACCATGGACGTCCATGCTTTTACACACATACCATGTAAAGCCCCCCCCCCCAATGAACGTCGTGCACATACTCGGGGGGGGGGGGCAACTGGTACAGTTTTACGGGAAATAAAAAGGGCTTTTTACAATTTACACGGAAAAAAGACGTTTTTACAGTTTACATTGAAAATTAAATTTTGCAGTGAATTGTGCCATCTAGTCGTTTTGCAGTTTCGAAATTTCCCTGGATTATTCTTTACGACTTTTTTTATTTGGATGTGAATTCTTGTACGTACCGAGAAAAATGTCACATTTTTACAGTGTTTGACAAAAATATTTGATTGATTACGTTGTACGTCTAAGCCTGTGATTACAGCATTACGGAATTTATTTGTTTGAATTTACGTTGTACCAAAGACACTAGAGAAGAATGTCTTTGGTTGTACGCACAAAAAAATATTGCAATTACGTTGAACGAAAATAACCCTTGCCCCCCCCCACTCAATAAGTGTGTTGAAAACTTTTATGACGTAACTCAGTATGTGAACCCTGCAAGTAAAATAATATCCTATCCTACTAAACATACAACCATTTATAATTATACTTGTATAGTTTTTCAAATACAAAAGAAGCGTCCGTTCACATTATATCAATCACGTTGTGAATTCTCTGCGCCTACTGGTTGGTCAAAATATATTTGGTCAAAATATATTAGTCTGGAAAAAGAGAGTTGCGACTTTAGAATTACGTTTAATATTCAAGAGACACCATTATTTGATTCAGACATAGAATTGATATGAATACATTTTAAAGTTGACATGGTCAACAAGAGCGATGGTTTGCGACTGAATACACAGCCCGTATGGACGTCCGTACGAGACTAATACTGTACGTGATTGCGCCCTCGTCGGTGGACTTAAATGATTATGAAGTTGGTTTGAGAGGGCACAGCATGGAGTTCACTACTGCTACGATACTTGTACGTTTGCAAAAATGTTGGGGCACAAGTTTTGCAGAAACTAAATATATATTTGGATGATAACAGATGTCTGCTATGTTCAAAATTATGTTTAATATAATACATTACAATTGGTAACTTGTTTTTATTATTATTTTGAAGCAGTTAAAATTATTAAAATGAGCTACATTACCATTAGCTGTAATAACTTGTTCCATATTGGTACTAGTTATTACGTTCGGTCAGGTGATATCTTGACTTGCCCCGTAATCTGATAAACAACTCCTCAACTTGTTTTTTTTTTTCAGTTTGACTGGCACTGAAACAACTTCTACAACCACACTGACCAATCACCTCAAACGTGTAAATGTCAGACCAAAATCACATAAAAAAGTATATAATTAACATAAAACCTTAAATTCTGGAATCAAATATTTGTATATTTATTGTTATTTGGATCTACCGGCAAAGAACTTAATTACAGATTTGAAAGCCTCAGCTTTTAATGAGGGTTAGCATAAGGAAAAAAATCTGCTGAAATCTGCTATTTTCCATGCAAAGAGAGTGTATGGGAAAATTTAAGATGCATTTAAAGCATTTATAGAGCTTTATTTGGGTCTTTGGTTTATTATGTTAAATATTTGATGGTCTAAATTTATGCAAATTGCAGTAAATAATAAATATTCAAAAGGTAGAATTTTTGAAATCCTAATATTTTTACCACAATATGGACAAATTCAAATCACCAAATATGTCACATAATAGTCCCAATACTTCAACTAAGCTTTATGAATGCTCTCAGAATGCATGTTCATGATTTTAAGTAAGTGCAACTAAAACTAATTTGAAAAATACAACTTAATATTGCACAAAAGAAGAAAATACATAATTTTTCAGATATCCGATATCGAACAGCTGGTGAAAAAATCAGCACCTGCATTGAGTGAAACTTAAATATAACAGTATCAGAGAATTAAGATTGATATTGCAAAAGCATTATTCCTGCATTCAATTTATAATGTACGTCATAAACAATGCCTCCCCTCCCCATTGCTTGTAAGCACGAGACGTCACTGAGCTCCAAAATATTCAGTCTGGTGCGATCAGCACACAGTCAAGAGTTTAAATTTTTTGTCTGCCAAAATGGCCAACAATTTGAATTTTCTTCATGGCAATATCATACCATGCATAACAAAAAAGTGGGAACCCAGCCATTATGTTTAGAGCACAACAGTCATTGCATAATGTGTATTTACATTTCGTGAAAATAAACAATTTATTATCTGTTTTTTTATATGTTGCATGGGACTCACTTCAGACAAATGACACAGACTGATGACTGTCGGGGAAGATTGTGCTTGACATATGAAATACAACAAAAGTAATTAACAGGCAGTTTACACAATCAGATTTATCGGATGCCAAAGTTTGAGTTCGTCCAATTTTTTAAAAATCTGATCACGCATCAGATTTTCTGGTTTCCACGATGTGAATATTTGATCTGATCTGACAAATCTGCTTGTGTAAACCCACAAAGTAGTAAACTAAGAAAAAAAAAATAGAATAAATTCCTCTATATGCATAATACAGGTTGATTAATAGTTATCATGAACTCATTGTTGAACTGTTTAGTTGTCCCACTGTAACCAAAACCATACACAACCATTAAAGGGCGGTAGTCGTCGCGCCGCGTCCTGTTTGATATGGGACTCATAGCGACGTATACAACGCGTGTAAAATACATTGTTTATTTACATGAAATTGGAACACGTGCTGCGCGACGACCACCGCGCTTTAAGTGAGTATTAAAACTATTTTCTTTGTAACCAGGACAATCCCCAAACTATGATAATTGTGTTATATATATATATAATATATACAATCTTCATGAAAGTATTTATAATTTCTCTGATGGTATATCTGGATTATTCAGCTTTGTTTCTGCCTTTGGTGTAGTATCACTGGTAGCTGCTTTGCCAGTTTTGTTTGTCTTTGTTGCCTCATCTTTTTTCTTCTTTTTCTCTGCATCAATTCTAGCATGTTCTGTTTCCACCAAGTTCAGCAGTTCATCCTATGTGAAAGAAATATGTATGAAAATCACATTGGTGAAATTTGTATATGAATGTTGTTCAATACAACAACAAAATAAACGGTTTAAACTTTTCACCACCAGTTCCCTCTTTTTATCACAAATTCACAAAATAGTCCTGTTTATAGTCTGCACTTTCCTTCAGACGATTGGAACAAAAATAGCCAAATGTTTTGAGTAAAAACTCAAATTTTGTCTGTTGGCTTCAAAATTCGGGTTCATTTCCTGAAATATTGAAGAATATAAAGAAAAAGTGCAGAAAAATTTGGGCAAAAAAGTCTGGTGGTGAAAAGGTTAAGCCTGGCAAAAAAGGCTGCTCGCAATTTTGGATCAGTTTGATAATATGAGGTTATCATTTGATATCACCTGTGAGTAAAGCTGGTTAATACAAATGACCATTCGGGCTAGTTTTATCCATGAACTGGATAATACAGTCTACGACGCAATGAGTAACTAGCATCTCTATGAATAAGTGACATCATGACAATGTTTTTATCACGTAATTCCATGGAGGAAGGTAAGCACAGAATGTAGCATGATTTTGCAACTAAAAAAAGTACATACTGATAATCAAATATTCTTAAGACACTGGCATATGTACCATATTTGCTCTATTAGGAGTTCATGTGCTTATGTAAAATATAGAGATTTTTCTACAATAAATAATATTAAATAAAGTAAATAATATTTTTATGATTCAAGTATAAAGTTAATGAGTTTTTTAGTTCATATGAGCTTCTATAGCAAATGCGGTAAAATCAATAACCATTTTAACATTGACTGTCTGGAAAGATACAACTACCATTTTCCATGGAAGTACCACCATCCATCATTAAATAGAAAAATACAACAGGGATCCTCACCTTCCAGCCAAGTAATTCAGCCAATCTGACACATCCATCATCACAGGTACCTTCAAATGCAACATCACTGAAAATGAAAACAGAAACAATTGTTACCGTAATTCTGTTATATCATTGTTTTAATTCACCACAGTATTATACATATGATTAATAAAAATAAAATTCTAATATGAAATATTAATAAGTAATATGAAATAAACAACCAATTTTATTATAAGATTATTTTAAGATTGGTAAAAAACAATAATAGCTTCCACTGAATCAAGCTTTGAGAATTCTTGCCGTTATGATGGATTAATAACTTCCATTATGAGGTTATCAAAAATACCACAAAGTTTTGTCTGTCTCTGAGGGAAGTCATGTTTTAATAAAGTTACATCTATCCATAAATAGAAAACATGTTTTCCAAGGTCTATGACCTATCATAAATCTTCTTCTTGCTTGTAGTAATAAATTAAATTAATGAGAGGTAAAAGCGAAAAATCACAGTGAAAAACATTTTGCACCGTGCAAACATTTGCATTCTGTGACAAAATTCTCAATTTAGGTTTTTGCATCCATTGTAACCACAAGAAAGTGTTACAACATCAATAATCTGGAACAAAATGATGTTTCTGTTGATGCCTTTATATTGCATGTGTAGATAGATCTGACCACAAATATATTTACCGATAGTTATTCGGTGAATCAAAGTCCATGCCTCTACCAAATCCCAACATCTGCATAAGAGGGTCAACCTGTTGGAGAAAAAAAGTTAATAAATGAAACAAATCGGCAAATGTCACTTAATCAACAACGGAATTGGAATAGTGGTCAAATTATTAGTCAGTGGTGCTACCAGCAGTAACACATAATGAAAGTTCTGGGTATAACTTTGGAGTGCTTGCTATGAGGGAAAAACTAGAATTCCTATATCCATGGAATTGAGTCTAACTAACCCTTTTTTCACATCTAAAATATCGATATATATTAGGCTCAGTAAAATTTAAAAAAATTGTTATCCTTTAAATACTCACTTGGCCACTTTTTTCTCTATTAATCAGCAATCTAGGACAGTCTTCAGGCACCCTAAAAACACATGGCAAAGTTTTAAATTCGCTGTGACAAATTGCGTAAATGTACATGATAGTTATCAAATAAAAGGCAATGGTTGTCATATGTTCATATATGGGTCCCATGCAACATATACAATGCATACAAAAAACATATTTTGGTTACACAAAAATCTGCAATGTTCATTTTATCCATGGTAATTCATTAGTAGTTAGCGAAACCTTACTTCTCTCACCGATGAGATTGAGACACCAATATTGTCAATTAACTCACAAAATTTATTAGCAATTACCAATGTTGCTTTTCAACAAGTTTGTTAGTTGTTGCATTGTGTTGTTAAATGGGAGCCAAAACAAAGTTGCAGGCTTCGTGTTTCCTGCCAACTCTCTTGCGAACTCCTCTGATTCATTAAAATTGTTCCAATTTATGTATGTATTGAATATTAATAAAAAATTTAAAAAGCTTGAATATTCAACCAATTGGATGACATACTGACGTCTGCAAAGATAATTTATGGAAGTAAAACAACAAATAACATAAAATTGATAAAGTTGACTCTCCGGCACCAAGCATAAAAATTTGTAAAATTTAAACCAGGTTAACTTGTGAAGTTCCACGTCATCATCTGGTTCATCATTCAGTGTCACCCTCTCTATGCAAATAGTATGCTTTGTGCATGCCAGTTAAGACGGTGCGCACGTGAAACGAACATATTGGACATCAACTTTACTTATCAGTAAACAGTTTTTCAAACTAATCTGCAGTTCTGGTGTCTCAATCTCACAGGCAATTGGGTACAAGAGTACTGACTTTGAGAGTAAAATAGAAAGGTATGAACAAATTATTCTGTATGTGAGATCCAAACAGAGTACTTCACAATCAATTTTAATCAATTTTCAGACACCAAATAGTTAAAAAAATAATTCAATATCATTATTTTTTAGTTATGATTGGGAAGGTTGTCAACACAGAAAAATACAAATAGCTGTAAAAGAATTCAACTATTCTGGACATAGCTTTAATTTGTTATACATTCACTAAACAACAAATAGTCACCTGTTAACAAGAGATGCAAATGGCTGTACAACCAATGATGTTCCCATTACCAGGAGTAAATCACACTTTGGAAAATCCTACATTAATAAAAGTAAAGGATTATTTTTTAATCTTCTGACAACAAAAGTAAACTTTGTCACCATCCCTGAAATGATTTAAATATGTTTTCAAAACTTCTAATTAAATACGGTTTATTACCAGTATGTCTATTTGGGTCAAAACTAACTTTATAATCAACATTTTGGTGGAAAAAATACGATGTTTTAAAAGGATAAAAGAAACTTGCAAGCACAACAAGGCATGGCAAACAAAGCTGATATTTAAAAAAATCTCCATTCATTTGAAGTTTGAATTTTGAAAATATTTAATTTTGTAACACATTACCGGTAATATACTGATTCAGGATTGAAAATAAAAGACATAGGGTACCCGGGTATATGCCAACTTGTGCAAATCAAATGTTTCTCACTTAATCAATGGTAGTCCAACATTTGCAGTTAATAGTATTTGCATGTTCCTGGCATTTGCATACTATATGCAGTATTCGCAGTTTGTTGTACTGTATACAGTAAGGAACACAAGCTACCCGGTACTAACCAAATGTTCACATGTATCGCAATGGAGTAAGAACGCTGTTACTAACAACAAATTTGTATAGCATGTGTGGAAATCTGGTTGTCCTACAGTTGCCATGGTGTAATCAAATAAGCATAAGATTTGAAGACTACTTTGGAAAATTAAGCCCAGGTATGTAACAAGAAAAACTCATAAACTGTACCTTCTGTGTTAGTGAAAAGAATTTAAACGGTAAAGCTTCACCAAAAAAGACAATATCTGTAAAAGAACAAGCAATGCAATGCATGATGGACTTATATGGAGATATTACTGGAATAATGATATATTTGCTGCGAGGAATCTTGTAAAGAGAATCAATTTATGTAAAAACTAGCGGCATCAAAAGCTTGTACGCATTTCTAATGGGGCAAATCAGTCTAGTCAAATGAAAATATTTATTTCCCTATATAAAACATGGACATTTTACGACATACCATTGATAACAAATTAAGTCATTTCACTTTACTGTTTTCAGTACTATAAATACCCTACAGTGATTTATTGGCCGATTATGCAGTCATATGCTACGTTCACGTTACGAGATCTCGGCATGTGTCGAAATTGTTAATCCTTCATGTTTGGAGAGGGATTGCAGCAGTTGCGTCAGGACCCACTCGGCTTGGGTCGAAATCACGCCCTCATTCGTCGATCTGTTATTTGACCCAAACATGGAAAACGATACGCATATGATAATAATAATAATTGCTATACTGAAATTGTTATCGCGCACATGAATGGCAAAGAAGATTTGAAAAACAATTATTTTTTCTCTTTGATGTAGCATTGCATAAAAAAATTGTTGCAGCAGCATATAAATATGAGTTGTTGATGTCAGTTTGCATTCAATTCATTCAATACTAAAGCATCCGAATATATATAGCTTCACTTCCCTCCATCTTCATGTTATACTAATATGAATCAGTATATGTTCTCTTAAATTCACCACTGGCGTTGTGATTTCGGTTTGTGCTGAGCGTTCAGGTAGCAAATCTCGGCACGTGCTGAGATTCGGGCCGAAGCATCTATCGGGATAGGGATTCATGCACAAGTTTTAGCACGTGCCGACTCAGCCCTGAGTCTCGGCACGTGCAGAGATCTTTAACAGGAGCGCCACTAATGGCAATGTTATGTAGGATTTTACTGTATCACTGATAACTTACCTGGTTTCACAACACCATCACAATCAGGACATTTAGGAATTCTATCTTGAAATATTTCATCTAAAAATATAAATTTTTTCAGAATCATAATTGGTATAAATATTGCAATTTTTGTTTCCAAAATTCACTGCACATGAATTACAATCGTATATTACAGGTTTATAAACTGAAATATTTGCAACAAGTCAATCTGTTGTTCAATAGTAAACGAAACTGAAATGATTCAGCCATTTAATCAAAACTTAGATTAACTGAGGTCATGTGTGACATGACATATATGCAGGTGTGAAGTTCAGTCAAAGCATGTCAGATATATATGGCACTAGAACAGCAATTGTTTATCTGTCACCAGCTATTTTGAATCTGATTTGGAAAACAAAAAAGGTGATCAAGGTCCCATTACGTTTAATGTATGTATCAAGTTTGAATGGTACTATAGCAGTTGTCCATTTATAACCCAGATCCAGGCCTGGAATGGCAGAAATACTTCATTCTGATGCATTTTTAACATTAAAATGGTGGCCATCTTGAATTGGATCTTTAAATGAATGCATGTGCATATGTGTGACATAATGCATTTAGGAAAGTTTGAATATGACAAG